ATTATTATTATTATTATTATATGTGGAGGATGTTATCTTCTTGTTGTGTTTATTGTGTTTGTGTTTATTGTGCTTGTTTCTCTTTCTCGGATGTGAAGAATTATTTAGTTTCTAATGATGAAACTCGGGTGAGGAAATGTTGTTGATATCAAGGACCTGTTCAAATTAGAGAAATTTACCCGGCAAGGAACGTTATATAGATTTATATACAATTTCTTATCACAATGTTCCCTGCTCTCTCAAACACCCTAATGAAACAGAAAGAAGAAGCACATATGTACACACATACAAAAATACATTCCATTAGGCTGAGTTTAAATATTATAACCAAAGTAGAACAGCAAAAAGTGAATATCAAATTCTAGCATATGTTATATTTGTTATATGCCACGCACAAGCTCTCTTCAGATTTTTTCGCCATGAATGCGATCCTATCTCATTGTTATTATGTGTCACTGGTTTGAGAGCCTTAGATGCAGCCCTCGCGCCTACATGTCAATAGTTGCAAAAGCGAGACAGGTGAGCTCATTATCTCGTCAAATGATAATGCCCAATGCCTCATAATTCCCCTCACTCAGTTATAACCGGATAAATCTTACGTCTCAGCATAGTCAAGCTTCCACAACAGATCACATCTTTTGACCCAGAAACTCTTCCTCTTCATTAGTTTTTTTCATTGATGACTGCTTGCTCTTTAGCAGGGAAAATAGCCTCTCATCCTGACTGAATACTGCTCTCATATCATGGGAGTAAACTGATTTCTCAGCTGAGTTTTCCCTTATTCGATCGTTTGAGGACTGTGCAGGAAAACCAAAAAGAGAATCGTTCTTGTCGGTGAGCTGAAAAAAAACACTAGGAAAAAGAAAACATTCTCCTGCTGTATGAATTTGTCCGTCCTTCATCCGTGCGGGAGCAACCCGTCTCGGATTTAGGTACAAAAGTAGATGTAGAAATGGTTCAGTATATCTGTAGGGACATTCCTACTAGGTAGCTGAGACCCATGAGTAGATACGCAAGATCATGCACAATCTGCACATTCTCTCAAAGTCATTTTTAGCAGTTATGAAGATTTTGTTGTATGCCCTGAACCATTCGGAACTCAGCAATACCACTCTTTCTTCAGGAGTGATCATGAAATTTCTTGCTTTCAAATAATTATGAATGATCAGTGTAGCAGTAATATCTTTGAGGACCTGAATAAACTTAATCATATGATCTTGGAAAAAGGTGTCAAGATACAATTTACACATGTCAGAAATATATTAATAAATAGTATTGCACTTGAGAGCTCTGTGTCATGTAAAACATACTGTTTACATTTGACTGCTAAAGTTCGAGTTCAAGCTTTTTGATGCTTTCATAGAATCAAGACACATAGTTCTTTTCAATCATGTCATATGTCTGAAGTCATTGATAGACAGTAGCATCATATTCAATTATTCATGAATGCACTCATGTCTGACATGATTATGATGCTGTTTGCCAGCTCTCAGTCGGCTCTCTCATACAACATTTATCAAGATGATAGATGCTTATCACTTTCATAACACAATCAAATCTCTGAACTGATAGTATTAAGAAGACGGCAGTGTAGTCGCTGCGGTGCAGCTCTCAATGAAAACCCACATGCTGCAGACAAACCTTGTTGATTTTCATCATGTGTGACAGAGTGAGGTGAATGATGTATAAGGTCTCCGCTTCTTTGTTGAGAGTCAAAAGAGTTCTGAAGGATCTCTCAGTCAGTTGTCGTGGTAATTGCGTAGTTTCAATTTAAAGAGTCGTGGTCGACCCTCCTCGGGTTTGTACAGGAAACTGGGCTTTTCGCAACAAAATGCAGATGTGGGAAAACATTTCCGATCTATTTGGACGGGACTGCCATTGTAAACTGTGATGCTGGCCCTTCAGCTTGAGCCTCAATTGCTCTAAAATCGGCGAGTGCTGATGATGTGTGGAGGTCTCTATGCGGAAACAAAATTGTATGCTTACTCCGTACTCCGTAAAGGCCAATGGCTGGCTAACGGCTGAGCATAGGCTTTCGCTGTCGGGCCCACGGAATTTCTATCCTGGAACGCCAGTGATATAAATTTTAAAATCAGAAATTAAAAAATTAAAAAAATTAAAAAAGTAGCCGAACGCGGGGGTCGAACCCGCAGCCTTGCGGTCACATGAAAGTATGACATAAGAGCCGCACGCTCTACCGATTGAGCTAGCCCGGCATTTGTTGTTGCAGCCCTTTCGCCCACAAGTCAATATATTTGGGGGCCTTGTCTCAGGCAGTTTTTCGAGATTTGCGCCCTATCCTCGTAGCATTTATTTCCTTTCACCTTTTTCGAACCCTGTCTTGTCATCGTACACAAATGGACCCGCGGATCGCCCATATCAGTTACGGGGTACTGCCTCACCAAGAAATATGAATGATCATTTCATACTAGTATTTAGGTAGATCTCAGCTTAATGCTTCCTCTCCGCCCAATATACGTCTCTCATAGTGGATATCCAGTAGTGCTTTTCTTCTAGAAGAAGCACGCAAGGGGCTCCCACAGCACCCTTTTTTGAGGCCCAGTTTGCGCGCAAGTAAATACTTGTTGCCAAATTAAAACACGTCCGATTGTGTTCGTCCTTGCAAAATAATAATAATA